CTGAACGATGGGCCCACCCCCGGGGCCTCTTGGCTTCCTTTCTGATAGCTCCTTGACTTTGTCCTGCCTCTCCTCAGGACCACCTTATCTCCTGGGCAAGCTTGCCTTTCCCTGTGGGCCGTTGGTGTGTTCGTGAGCGGCTCTTGTCCCAGAGATGGTTCCCAGAAGGACTGAGTTCTGCCCCTCCTTGGAGGAGCGTTCAAGCATGGCCCGGGTTGGATGCCCGTGTCCCCAGGCAATGGAGCCTTGCTGTCTCTGATAAGCTTTGTTCTCTAATATTCTCTGTCTAAGCCGCTCTAACCCTTCCACCCACCAAGACTTAAAAACAGCACCATGGCATTCCAGTCAGTACTGGTGTAGACTAGATGGTTCTTAAGTACTGGTGCTGACTGGTTGGCTGTGACTTGATCAATCAGTCTTAACTACGTGCATTGGACGTGGGCGCTGAGTGCGGTGAGCCGCTGACACAGACATGGGTCAGCATGACCCTAGAACGCAAAGATCGCCCATTCCCCAGTGGATAAAAGAAGTGGGTAATTTGCCCACGGGACACCTGCCTCTGTGGGGAATCTATTGCTTCGTGAGGCCCAGTTTGGGTGGGGGAGGCAGGGCTGGTACAAGACTTGTACTGCTATGTTTGTTTTTTATTTCTTGTTATTTGTCTCAAGCTTTGGTTTCTTCCTTATGGGCAAGCTCCCCAGTTTGGGTTTTGGGCTCACAGTAAGAAAAAAAAAAATGGATTGCTACCCAACTGGAATACCAATGTGGGTGTCGGGATGAGGAAGATTCAGACCCGAGGGGAGAGGGAGTGAGCCGAGTATCAAATCCCAAGGGTTGTGGGCTCCTGCATGGGTCTGGTGAATCCTCACGGGGCAGGGGAGAGAGGGGTGGTCAGTAGGTCCTTGTTCGGTGAGAAGCAGAGGAGTGAGGTGTGCAGAGCCGGCCAGCCGAGTGGGAGGCACTTTGTGCTTCTTCAGGGTGAAAGTGCTTTCTTGTTAGTAGCCAGAGAGCCGGTGTTTGGTCAACCCCTGTGGCACCGGCCGGATTGCAGGCAATCTGGAGGCCGATTTCATCCAGCATTCGGACAACAGCCCCTGGCTCCCTCAGGGCCAGGATGGAGAGCACACCCTGCCATCCGTGGCAGCCTGGACATGTGTATACACTTCCTTGCACACACCCATGTACCCTGCTGAACACGCTCAGCTCACAATCCTTGGGGAAGCTGATTCAATGCCCTACGCTCAGGCTTGGTCCCAGGGACAGCCCTCTGCACCCGAGGCCCCGTGGGGAATTTGCAGAAGGTTCTTTGGGGTTGGAACGTACTGTTTTCACACGGGGTGATGTTGCAGCGCTGCCAGTTGGCGGGCCGCGGCCCCCAGGAGCACAGGTGCTCAGGCACGGCCTTGTTGGTGCGGACGTGCACACACTCCACACGCCGGGACTGGAAGCCGTAGTTGCCACAGGTGGCTGTGCACAGGGTCCACAGGCTGACCCTCCAGTGGACACTGCAGGCCTCTGTCCAGCAGTTCTGGGTGCTCACGGGCCTGCAGGAGGAGGGTGGCAGGGTTAAGGTCTGCTGTTCAGGGGGTTGGATCAGGGAGCGGAAAACAGTCATGCAACCCCAGGAATGTTGGGCAACTCCTCAAGAGCTCCCGGCATTACCAGACCTGGGCTCTGACCTCTGCTCTGTTACTGAATGGCCAAAATCTCAAGAAGGCTACTTCCTCTAACTGGATCTCCGTCAGCTCTTCTCAACAATGAATATATCACTGCATGATCCAACAGTGAGCTCTCCCTGGTGTGGAGGCTGGCAGACGCAGCGCCTAAAGCCTAGTCTTAAGGGCTGCAGTCTTCGATGAGGGTGGTGAGCCCTTCCCACAGGGTGACATCTATAAGGAGGTGTGATAGGGATGGGGACCGGATAGGAACAATGGGTTGAGATTCAGGAACAAGAGCCTTCATCTTAGCCAAACTTCTAGAGGGAAGTCAACAAGAGTGGGGCTGGTAGAGCCCTTGAGGTCTGGTCACCATTGGGTAGACCTCATCTCTTGCTCATGTGGGGCTAGTGGGTACCAGGCCTTCTTCAGAAGAGCAACACCCTGTGTAGTCTTCATGCCAAAGAGAGGAAAGCCCATCCTGGCCTATGAGTTAAGCAGAAGGCCATCACTAGCCATCTACCTCGAGGCCAATGGTCTGGGGTGAATGGAGGTGAGAGAGCAGGGCCTGTGACTATGGGAGGGGAGGTGTTTACTCACCACCATCGTTCCGTGCTATTGACACGGGGTGAGGAAAGGAGGTCCAGGGCTGCTTCTTACCTCGGTAGGGCACTGCACTGCTCTGATGGTAAAGTGATGCCATCCCGTGTCTGGCAGAAGACTTGTCTGTGTTGCACAGCCAGGTGAGGCCCGATGCAAGGCCCATTGCACTGGAAAGCAGAAAAAAGGTGATACATAGGATGTTAGCCAGTTCATGGGCAGAGGCTGCAATGCTCAGGTTACACAGGACATAAGCTCCTTGTGCAGGGTCTTATTGGGGCTCTCAGATCATTCATCCTTCTCTTTTGGGGGGGCAGGTAGAACAAAAAGGCGGAGGAAAGGTGAATTATTTCCTCTCTCTCATAGACCTGTGGCACTTTTCTTCTGCCATCAGACATTACAACTCCAGACTTTCTGGCCTTTGAACTCCAGGACTTAAACCAGATGCCCCTTGGGACCTCAGGCATTTGAATTTGGACTGAGAGTTACACCATCAGTTTCCCTTGTTCTGAGCCCTTTGGACTTGGACTGAGCCCGGCTACTGGCATCCGAGGTTCTTCAGTTCGCAGATAGCCTGTCAAGGGACTTTGTAGCCACTGTAGTTGCATGAGCCAATTTCCCTAACAAATTTCCTCTTATCTATCTTTGTCTGTCTGTCTACCTGCCTACATATCCTATTGGTTCTGTTTCTCTGAAGAATCCTAAGATAAATGGATAGATTCAATGGACAAAATTTAGTAAAGAAACTACTCTGTCCCTGGCAAGATTTTCTACTGAGCAAAAGAATTATGATGAATTAAGTGAAATTGATTTCTTACGAGGCAACCTACGCCATTTATTTTAAAGATGGAACCAGTCTGAATGAGGCTGTCCAGGCTAGAAATGATGCGAAATACAAGAGATCAGAACATGGACCATTGGTCTAAGTATGAGTTGCTGATAGAAGACAAATGATGCTGTGACTTGAAAAGCAAGTAAACCATGAATCATCCCAATGTATAATCTTGTAATCAGAACAACAGAGAACTGATATGTGAATAGTTATCATTTACTCTGTTCTTGGCAAAACATTGGCCAATTCATGGCTATGCATGTTAAATGCTACAACATAAACACAATTTGTGTTATCTGGAACAGTGAACATCTTTGTTTGCTGTTCACATTTTTTTTTTTTTTTTGAGTTGGAGTTCCACTGTCTCCCAGGCCGGACTGCTGTGTAGTGCACATATTTTTTTTTAAACCATATATTTAGAAAAAAAGAGGTATCCTAAAATAGCTGAAAGCTGTGAAAATACATCGTACACCCCTGTAGAATGCTACCATATAAACAGTATTAGGACTAAGTATGTGTAGTATTGGATAGTTCTTTAAAGAGATACAAAACATATTTTCATCTTTTATGCAATATTCCAAACATTCTTGTGAGTTACATATTATCACTGTTCTACATATATAATGAGGAATTATCCTTGGTAAGATGAAATAGATCATTCATCTTTTCCCTCTTTGGGCCAACTAAAGGAGAGTCACATGTTTTTCTTTTTCTTTATGCCACAGTGGGGCGGTTAGCTTTCCTGTGGTCTGTGGGCGTTCTGCTAGCAAATGGCTAACGGCAGTATAAAAGCCACTTTGAGAGAGTCAACGTTCTCTCAGATTAACCACTTGAGAGAGATTCTGGCATAATGTGCTAGGTAGGAATGTGGTAGCAGACTTTTGCCCCTCGCCTCTTCAGTGCAGAAAGTAATTTTGGTTTATTGTTTTCTTCTAATTCCATCATTTCTTTCCTTTCTTTGGCTTCATTTTCTCCAGGTTAAAACCTAGATGGCTGAACAAAAAGCCCTCCTGATATTCTCTTGCTATGTGCTCATGGAGATTGTTATGCTTTCCCAGAGCTGGTGGAGCCTGACCCTATCACAGCAAATACCCCTAACAACAATCGTCTATAAAATACAAACGCAAGGGCCCCTTAGCCAACATCTGCTATTTTAGTAGAACAAGAGGACAGACATCCTGTGGAGGTCACTTTAGAACAAAAGCTCTTAACTCGGAGCGGGTGGGGTGGGGTGGGGTGGGGGGGGTGGGTCTATAGATCCCTAGGGTTTCACGGGGGGTGGTGCTGGGGTGTTAATCCCTAACATTACAAGTCGAAGTTTTGTGTTTATTGACATTTTTCTAGCAAGAGGTTCCTTCTAGCTTTCATCAGGTACTCAAAGGGATCCCTGACCCTAAAGGTTAAGAACCACTGAAGGAGAAAGATTTAAGGTAAAAGCAGCCCCCTTGGGGGCCAGATATTGTTTTTCTGGGCTCTAAAGGGCTAAGTTTGACACCATTATTCACAAAGACACGAGGGTTTGGGGTAAATGTGAAAAAGTCCCCTTGACACCGACAACTGGAAATTCTTTTCTTGTGGTAAAATATACACAATAAAAATTGGTCTCTAATTTAATCATTTGGAAAACAAGTTTTTATTGTGAAGTACAGTGTGCATAGAGATAACTGATTAAGAGCCCAGTGTTGTGCTGGGTGTCTATAGTCCCAGCTGCTTGGGAGGCTGAGGCAGGAGGATCAACTGAACCCAGGCTATCATGCACTATAATCATGCCTGTGAATAGCCATTGCGCTTCAGACTGGGCAACATGGCAAGACCCTGACTCTAATCGAAAAACAAAACCAAGTGATGAAAACATGAAGGACATCTCAGTAAGTTACTGCAAAGTGAATACGGTTGGTTTTTTAACAGCATGGGTTGATCTGGGCAGGTCTGCATATGCCCTCATTTTTTCCAACCAAAGGTCACGGGATTTGAAACCTGCAGATACAGAGGACTGACTTCTCCTGTATGCAGGTTCCACCGAGCCAACTGTGGGACTGAGAATGGGTGGATTTTGGGATATGCTGGTGATCCTAGAACCAATCCCTCAAATATACCAGAGGCTGACTGCCTATGGGGAAGTCCAGCCACATAAGTGTTGCCACACCCTTAGTCAGAAACTGTAGTTGTAACACTCAGCTGTCCATCTTGGCATTCATTATAGTTTTTGAACAAGGAGCCCCATGTTTTCATTTTCCACTGGGCCCTACAAATTATGTAGCTAGTCTTGTATACAGGTGAAGAAATAAAACGCTGCCAGCAACTCAGAAGCCCTCTCGGTGTCTACTCCAATTCACTCTTTCCTCTTCACATGTAACCACTGTTAACTGTTTATGCCTGTTTTTGAAATTTACATAAATGAACCATATTTCATGTCTGCTTTTGCATCTGGCTTCTTTGTTTTCTTACTATGCATTATATGTGTAACTGAAGTTTCTTCATTTTCACTGATGCACTTTTATGAATATACTGCAATTTGATTTTCCATTCTCTTAAAACATTTTTTAAAATTTATTTTAAAGATGTGGGGTACAATTCAGGGTTAGGTATACAAATGCTCATTATGCAGGTACCCTTGTTGATGAGGTATGCCCCCTTCCCCAGGCAGATTCCCCCTACTGCCAATCCCGCCCATTTACTTTTGATAAATACTTGGTTTCTTTCTAGTTTTTACATTATTGTTGATACAAATAATAGTGCTATAAACATTTTTGTCCATGTCCCTTGGTGCTCGTGTGCATGTATTTTTGTTGAGTATATGTATACGAGGGGGCGCCCCCAAATGCCCAGAATTTATTTGTAAAAAAATGTGTGTTTATTCTTACCTGTTTAAACTTTAGTCACCTTTAAAGTATTCTCTGTTTGATGCAATACACCCATTGAGATGCTTTTTTCACTGCTCAAAACAATTTTTGAACTCATCAATTTTGATGCCTTTTAGTGCTTCTGTTGTTTTTTGTTTCACCTCTTCCGCATCGTAAAAACATTTCCCTTTGAGGACTTTTTTCATTGCTCAAGGCAAGATTGGGTGAATCGGGAGGGTAGGGCATGGGGATCATGCCGTTTTTTGGTAAAAAGCTGTTGAACACTCAGCACGGTGTAGGCAGGTGCGTTGTCATGGTGGAAGAACCAGTCACCAGTTTGCTACAACTTGGGACATTTCTTGTGCAAATCGTCTCACAACAATGCTAGCTGGTACACCGATGGTGATGGGTTCCTAGAACACTTACCTAGTGGGGGAAACCTGTGCTACAAAGGGCCCACCCTCCAAAAATAATTGTTTTTTGGGGGTTCTCTCTTGTAGAAGTAAAAATGGGTGTGCAGATACTTAAATTTAAGAGGTAGCTTCAAAAAGGTTTCCAAAGAGCTTTTACCAATTTCTTCTCCTGACAGTGATATATGACATTTCCACTTGGTTTAAATTTTTGGAAAATCTTGGAATGGTCATATATTTTAAATTTTAAGCATTCTAGTGAGTGTATACTTGAATCTCATTTTGGTTTGACTGGCATACCCTTGGGTACTCATGAAAACAACTTTTTATTGAGTTGTAACTCGTTGGACAGCCTCTTTAATGATGTGTCTATTCAATTTTTAAAGATGTTTAAAAAGTTTTTCTAGAGAGAGAGTCTTGCTGTCACCCAGGCTGGAGTTCAGTAGCGTGATCATAGCTCACTGTAGCTTCGAACTCCTGGGCTTAAGCAATCCTCCTGCTTGAGCTTCCTGAGTAGATAGGACTACAAGTGTCCGCCACCACACCTGGCTAATTTATTTTTAATTCTTTTGTAGAGATGGGGTCTCGCTCTCTTGTTCAGGCTGGTCTCAAATTCCTGGCCTCAAGAGAGCCTCCGCCTTGGCCTTCCAAAGTGCTGGAATTATGGGAGTGAGCCACTGCACCCGGTCATATTCAATCTTTTGTTTTTTTTTTTTGCCTGTTTTTCTATTGTGTTGTCTGTCTTTTAAAAATTTTTATTTCTTACAAATTTTGTATTTGTATAAATGTGTGAGGTACTAGTAAATTCTATCACATGCATAGATTGTATATCGGTGATGTCAGGGCTTTTAGGGTATCCATCACACTCATTGTATCCATTAAGTCACTGCTCACCATCCACCTTTCACGCTTTCGCCCTTCCAAGTCTCAACTCTATCATTCCACATTCTGTGTCCATGTGTACATGTCATTTTGCTCCTACTATAAGTGAGAACATATGATATTTGTTTCTCTGTGTCTGACTTGTTTCACTTAACAGCTTCCAGTTCCATCTATGTTGCTGCAAAAGACATGATTTCATTCTT